TTTTCAATGGAAGTCAATGGAGGAATATGACTATATATTTGCAGATATCTCCAATCTGATTTCGTACTTGTACAATTGTAATTGCAGATATCTCTAATTGTCATTCTGACTAGTCGAATTATAATTATGACTAGTCAAAATATAATTAGAGATATCTCTAAATATATTTATGGATATTCAGAACAAGGTTTAAATGCTAAAACGGCTTGCCATACGCTCTCACTCAGCAGCACGGTGCAGATTTCTCTAGTTATATCCTTTCAGTCGTTTGTTATGCAGTGACATGCAGTCAAATATTTCGCCAAACAGTCCTTAGGGATACGGTGACACGCAGTCAGATATTTCACCGGACAGATCCGCCACTTTTGGCGCTCATAAACAATCATAAAGCCCTCGTGCTGCAGGAATGAGGAGGTCTGCTGAAGGCGAGCAGCTGGCATGCTGTGAGGAGTTCTCGTCTTTAATAAACTACGGCAGTTTGCGATCACTGAACAGTAAGAATGATTAATAAATCCATATGAAACAGCCCCTTAAAAGTCACGTCGCGCTTTCGGTTTCGAGCTTTGGCGCGTTTTGCACTCACACACAAGCGTACCGCGCCAAAGCCCAAGTGATCCGCGCTCAGGCACACCTCTTCCAACTGGGCCAGGGCCGGCCAAGTGAACCGTGCTTGAGCCCGATTCAGCGCACTCACACTTCTCAAACGATCCAGGAAACGGGCCTGGGCACGGTACGGATGGCATAGTGTGAGTAGGCCCTAAGATATATATGTGCACATGTATGCCAGACACCTACATGTCCATATAGGTGTAAGACACATGTATGCCAGAGACTTTAATGTCTGTCTTTCCTAACACAGATCTTGAACCAAATCATGTCATCTGCTCTGTCACTACCCTTTTACAAGTCTATGAGTGTTCCATCCATGTAGTGGCATTTCTGCCTAAAATAGTGGTGCGCACATTCCCTGGCAGTGCAGCTCTGGCATGTAATGCACGCACCAGGCAAGTTGATTTTCTAACAAAGTGCAACCACACCATGCTATTTGCATATACTGTACGTGTGTTTATTATAAGTTAAGAGTTTCATGCACGTCGCTCCAGGTAATTCGGCTGTACAACAAAGCAGGAACAAATCAGGTTACAGTGGACTTTTAATTGGTTTAATTTGGCTTCATTTGCTGCAGTTATTGTATAGTGTGGTACTGTAAACATTGCTATAAGCTCTGTTGGCAGCATTTAAATGTTTTTTGAAAAAAGTACAGTCCATCGAATGTCTTTCAAATTTATTATTTGCTCTAAGCAAAGAACAAAAAAGAAAATTCAGTCCTACATTAAGCTCTTTTAAAATGGTTAGATATGCAGTTTTAATTAAAATGAGATGCCTGCACTTCAAAAGAGATGTTAAATAATGAAATAATTAACACTAAATGTATTTTCTGCTTTAAAAAAAATCTGTCAAAGGAGCAAGAAAGTACATTTACATTCAAGATATATTCATATTCACTGCAGTTTTGCTTGGTTTAATTTATTATTTCTTACAAAGGATGTTTATATGACTAGAAAAAAAAGATACTCATTAGCACTCCGCTGATATATTAATGGTTGACACTAATATTTAAAGAGTAGCATGACTAATCATTGATATTATAATGCAGATAGGAGAACACGATTCAACAGACACTAGGACATGAGCGTGAGCCAAGACTTCTGTTAATTTGTCACTTCTTGCATAACATGGTTTTCTGGTGTAAGGGATAGGCTTCTTATCAGCTTGCTGACTGTTTGTTTGGGTATTATATAACATAGCTGGATATCACATAACATGTTACAGTATTACAAATGATCTGCTTTATGCTTATATTTACAGCTATCCATGTATGGCAGAAGATGTATGGCTTTAATGTGTTCAATTTAGCAGCAGCACATCAGAAGAGTGTGAAAATCACTTGCTTTAAATAGAAAATGACAAATACTTCTGTGTGCTAAATATATTTGTATGAGACACATCCCTCTACTATAATCAAACAATTCTCATTCATGCACTTTCTTAGTCACTTATTTTTTTATCAAGGGTCGCCACAGTGGAATGAACCGCCAACTATTTCAACATATGTTTTACACAGCAGATGCCCTTCCAGCTGCAAGCCAGTCCTGGGGAAAACCCATACACTCTCACATTTACACACCCACTCATACACTAAGGCAAATTTTGTTTACCCAATTCACATGACTCATGGCTTTGGATTGTGGGGGAAACCAGAACAACACGAGGACAACCTGCAAACTCCACATAGAAATGCTAACTGGCCCAGCCGGGACTCGACCCAGCAATCTTCTTGCTGTGAAGTGACAGTGCTAACCACTGAGCCACCATGGTGCCATAATCAAACAATATATGGCAGAGTACAGAGTGTTCAGTCTAAGTGCAAAGTGTACAGACACAAAACCAATAGTTCTACAGCAGAGGGCCTCAGCAAACTAAAATGGGCCTGTACAACATCTGTACAACATTAAGCTTTCTTAATATGAGTTTTACCGAGTAATGTATTTAACTATTAGGCACTATATAGTTATTAATCTGATAACATTGGGTAATAAAGCAAGTTTAGTCAGCAACTAAACTGATGACCAAAATCTATGACTAAATGAGGAACCAAACCAAACCAGACATACTGTGAGCAATAAACCAGTAAGAAACTAAACACAGAAGTTTACCTAAATAAGTAGCAATTACAAACTGTATAATTATAAACTACAGTAGATACTAAAGTTTGTCAACACAAACTTCAAGGCTGGTTTGATAAAGCCTGTTGGCAATAGTTTATTTAGTTTAAAACCTTTTGAACAAGTATAAATAGATATATACTGTAGATAGATGAATGGATGGATAGACACTGTATGTTGTAATTGAGATTTTTTTTTACCTGTATCCTGATTCTTAATCATGCTAACAACATGCAAATTCATGCTAGAATCATGCTAACAACATGCTAATCCATACTATCTATCTATCTATCTATCTATCTATCTATCTATCTATCTATCTATCTATCTATCTATCTATCTATCTATCTATCTATCTATCTATCTATCTATCTATCTATCTATCTATCTGTCTGTCGCCAACAGGCTTTGCCTAAAAGTTTGTCTTGACAAACTTTAGTATCTAGTTATAATTATGCAATTAGTAAAGTAAAAAGTAGTGTAAACATCTGTGTTAAGTTTTTGTACTCAGTATACTCACTGATTTATTGCTCACAGTATATGTCTGGTGTGGTTCCTCATTCAGCCATATATTTTAGTCATCAGTTTAGTTTACTTCCCTCTGTTCCCATGTATTGTTTTTATATGTTTACTTTTTTCTGTAAATTTTGCCTCAAATAAAATTTTATGAATGAAATTGTACGGATTCATATGAATTAGCCACTAAATCAATAAGTTATGAATTGCAGTGAGATAGCAAGAGGAGTCTGGATGCAGACCTGATGCAGTGCAATCTGGGCTGCATCCAGTGCTTTTTAATAGGCTCACCTAACCCCACCCATAACCCTACCCCTCACAGCGACGTCACTAGCTCCATTTGAGTGCATTGTGTCTGACATTGCATTGCTGAGTGATGCAATCTCAGCTTGCATCATAAAGGCTGCATCCAGATACTACTGGAGATAGCGTTGGATTCTCCAATGTGAAACAACTTCCTGATAAAACAATGTATCATATCTTCACACAGACTTGACAGATGTCTGTTATTTGAACCAATTTCTTTTTCTTTCTTTCTTTCTTTCTTTCTTTCTTTCTTTCTTTCTTTCTTTCTTTCTTTCTTTCTTTCTTTCTTTCTTTCTTTCTTTCTTTCTTTCTTTCTTTCTTTCTTTCTTCCTTCAGCCTATCTTTGGGTGTAGTAGGAGCACTTTTAGCTTAGCTTAACATCAATTATTTTATTGTATTAGACAATTAGCACCTTGCTCAAAAATGTTATATAAGTATAATGAGTGCTAGTTCTGTGTCCATGCCGACCATCTATACCCTCACTATTCCCTATATTAGTACACTGATATAACCCAATTGAAGGACTGAATGAAAATTCTAGCACTCGACACACAGAGAAGGATGCAGTTTTGTTTGTGCTTTGCTGGTTGATAAATCATTCAGATGTATTAAAATGTCAAATTTGTTTGTTCAAACCTTGTGATAGTTACTTTAGCAAGCTGTCTATTAACGAAACAAAAGTATTTTAATTTCTGTCATCTATTGTTTATTTTGCAATACATTTCAATTGTCTATTTGTATTTTCATTGCTGTTATTTTTGTATAATTCTACAAATTCATGTTGAACACTACTTGAAGACATTATTTACAGTTAAATAATGTTGAAGAGAAATTTGTTGGTGAAAAATGTTTTATTTACGTGCTAATATAAAAGCAGTTAAAACAGACTTGTCAATTTTGACGGGGAACACTAAAGTAAGGGACGGGATGTGAGCACAACTCTAAGATTAAAAAGCCCTTATTGACATGGCTATTTCTTAAAACCAGGGAATAACCATGTCAGTAAAGGCTTTTAATTTATTTTTTTTTTTTTACATCTTATGAGTGTTTTGGACTTTCTTTTGCTGTTTAGCCTTTTCTATGTGTTGCTACTTTCCACGCCACAAATGATTCTAAAAGAGTCCCTCACTCACTATCCTTTAGCCTACTCCAAGTATAGGGGTTTATAATTTTTTTTAATTTTCTTCATGGATTTATCAGTGCCATTAAAGACTCATTATTTGTTATCCATCTAAAGATTTTTTTTTTCAAACGCATCCTGCAATCTGAAAAACAATATTCTCACTACTCTGTCCTTCCACTGGGGAAGTGCGAATCTGTGGGGGATGTTCACAGTGCAAATAAAGGCCAAACGCTTTTACAGCCGCAAAGTAGAACATTTCCTGATAAGAGACTGTCAAGAGAAACAGGTTTCCTCCTGCTCCAGCTGACACACATGTGACTGACCTTAGTAAGCATTAACACGAAAACACATTTCTCTCGTCCACTATTCCCTCTAGACAGTATGAACGCTTGACATGGATTTACTCTTCCAAACACGGCTTTAATATTAAAAGACACTTTCTATATCCGTCAAATCTGAACATGTCGTCATGGAAAGAGAAACTGAGGAGAATAGTTACGGTGGAGCCAGTGATCTTTCTCTACATGAGCAGCAGTTTCATTGTAACACCTGCAATTCAACAGATGATTATCACAAAGGTAAGAGAGCTGCTACTTTTGCCATTTAAAGCAAGAAAAGTAAAAAAGAGAGAGAGAGAGAGGGGGAGTGAAAGGGAAAGACATTAATCAAGCCGGTCCAGCGAGTCAGTGTTTTGTTCTTTGAACTGAAAAACAGGTCAGCAGGGTCCAGTTCTAGTACACAAAACGGAAATGCCCGAAGCACAACCACAGAGCGCTTGGAGAATAGCAGCGGAGCTGGAGATGTACTCAAAACCCAAAACTACAGCAGGCATTAATCAAGCCGAACCGACTTTGACAGTCCCAGAGCAAAACAACGGGAGCTGTGATCACTCATGCACTAGATTAAACAATCGCTGACACTCATTAGTCTGTATTCCGCAGCTCGACTTAAACATCCGATATGCACAAACAACTTTGGTATCTTAAGTATAACCTTGTAAGATGCTGGATGTGGGCAGTAGCCGAAGATTTGTTTTTGTCATTTTGACCTGTGATGTGACGGGGGTATTTAAAGGTGCGGTATGTAAGATTGACACCCAGTGGTTGAACTAGGTATAGCATTTTTGGTTCAAAACACATGCAAGCGCAGGCTGCCAGATTAAAGACCAACGGGAGTGTGCCTGACTATTGAGCCTAAATGCTAATTAAAGACTGATTTAAACAGTGTTCTAAATAAAAGCAACGGAACTTGATAGAAGGAATACTTACCATAAATTTAAGAAGTTTTTTGTCCTAACCAACGCCTGACATTTATATTTTAGAAATGGCTTCTATTGCTTGCAGCCGAACTACAAAAAACTATGACAATGATCACCTCCTTTTACATCAATGCCATTTTACAGCAGCAGATAATTCACCTCAGATCTTGAAAATAAAATAAACCCTTTGAAATTGTACTTTTAAACTTTAGAATTGTGACTGTGCAAATCAACACAGTGATTCAGCATGTATATTTAATAATGTTAACGAGGTTTAATATTTATACCCCGGGGAGTGACACAAACAACAGAAGTTTGGATCCAAATGCAGGTTTATTCGAAGTCAGGCAAGCAATGGTCAATATGGGTGCAAACAGGTGTTTAGAGGCAGTCCAGAATCGTAATCAGAAAACAGGCGAGAGGTCAGAAGGCAGGCGGCTAATCAGGAGAACTGGATAAACAAGGCTTAGATCAGAACACAGGAAAACAAGACTAGGAGAATGCGTTGTAATGTCACTAACAGTAAACAAGACTCGGCAATGTGAATGAGTGTGTGTGCTGCTTAAATAGTGTGTGTAATCAGTCTTTGACAATCCTCAGGTGGTGCGAGTGTAATCAGTCTAAATGAGGAAGCAGGTGTGTGTGGGCGAAGAGCATGGATGAAGTTGTAGTCCATAAACTGGCAGAGTTGTAGTTTGTATGAGTGATAATGTTTTTCAGCCACCTCTGGTGGTTAGAGGTCGTTGATGATTGTGACACCGTGTTGCATGTGGTATAGGTGAATTGTGTAAGCTAAATTGTCCATAGTATATGTGTTTGAATGGGAGTGTATGGGTGTTTCTCTGTGGTGTTTTTGCAGCTGGAAGGGTATCTGCTGTGTAAAATATATGCTGGATAAACTAGCGGTTCAATATGCTGTGGCAACCCCAGATTAATAAAGCGACTAAGCATAAAATGAATGAATGAATGAATTTTATTATTGTCATTTAAAGATAATGTTAGTTGCATCTATGCATGTCTAAACATGTATACAAATTGTTTAATACACACACAGGGATGTACAGCAGTACACAGATATCTATAAAAGTCGCCATCTCCTCCCATGCCTTCCTTACCTCAGGGGGCTTTGGTGGAATCCGGCTGTGTTGTAGCCAGTTTATTCATGACAATTTACAATTGTTTAGTGCTAATATAATTATTAGTAGCTATTATATGCATATTTATATTTGTTTTTATCATTTTAAAATGTTTTTATAATTTACAGACTGCTTTTCCCATCCTTAAAATTGCAAAAGTGGATTCGGACATGCCATTAGTGCTTCTGCACCATATGCTTTAGACTTTACACTTAGTTTATTAAATAAGATTTTGGTTTCATTTTGGTGTTGACATAAAAAAGTGATTTCATATACTAATATCAAACATATAAAATGTAAGTTTCTAATGTTTCAAATAACAAAATAACACACACACACGCACGCACGCACGCACGCACACACAGTGTTGACATTTTATATATAAATTATTGTTATTATTATTATTATAATTATTATTGTTGTTATAATCATGCATATTTATTGATATATTTAAGTTAAATTAATAAACATATTTACTTAAATCTGTACTTCCTAAATACTTCAAACAAAATATATAAAAATAATACTAACTTTGATTATATTTCAATATTTAATTTATTTAAATATTTAAACATCTGACAAATTACTTACAAATAGATAAAACCTAGAAAAACCTAGTATCAAATGATTAGATTTTTAATATGCATTGTTGGTATAAACTAGTGCTACATTATAATACATTATGTTAGGAGTCTTTTGTAAATCCTGGCATTTTTTTCTCATATTCTGCTCAGAAACTTTCTAAAATAAAAATATGACAAAATAAATAAAAAATAACACAATTACTTACATTTATCTAATACTTCGTTGTTACTGTAACATTTGAAATTTATTTAACAATAAAATTACTATTTCATTGATCATTTCATGTATTACAATGTGATAAATATTCAACAGAATACTGCATACTATAATTTATTTTTTGTTTTGTTTTTCTACCATGTTTCAAATGATATATACTCATTCATTTTCTTCTGCTTAAGCCCTTATTGATCAGGGGTCACCACAGCAGAAAGAACTGCCAACTATTTGGATGCCCCTTCAGCCGCAACCCAGTACTGGGAAACACCCATACACTCTCACATTCACACACTCACTCATACAATTTGCCCAATTTAGTTCACTCAATTCACCTATCCCGCATGTCTTTGGACTGTGGGGGAAACTGGAGCACCCGGGGGGAAACCCACGTTAACAAGAAGAGATCATGCAAACTTCACACAGAAATGCCAACTGGCCCAGCTGCGACTCGAACCAGTGACTTTCTTGCTGTGAGGCGGCAATGGCATCTACTTATTTACATTTTAGCATTAAAATTTATTCTAATAATTAGAATTTTTCCCCAAATATAAAAAGAATAACATTAAAGTAAAATGGCGAGAACACATGACAGAAAATAATATCTGTGAACGGTGCAGACATTTTAATGAATATAAATAATGCACTCCACACATGCATTTGCTTTAGGGAAACACTTTCCAAAAACATGCAGCTGTTTTTAGTTCCTGCTCTTGTCATATTGCATTTTTTTTCCCAGCGTAAATGTCCTTCCTTTCCTCTCTCCTTTAAATTCCTTTACCCTTCCAGTGAACTCTGCAGCTCCACGCATAACAGCTCTCAGAAAAAATGCCGATGAATATATCATACGAATGAGCACAACTCCACGCAGCGAAAACTGTTCAAAGATTAAAGAGGTTCCAATCATTTATTGCAAAGTGCTCATTTACGCCACTCCTAATGACCTCGAGTCTTGCCATTTACTCTTTGATATCATCATATTTGTGAGGTTGTGGCTCGTGAGCTTCCCTGAGGCTTGTTCTTACAATAACTGAGGGCGTCCCCTGGTGGGATGAGTTACTGCATCGTTCCCATTCTGCATTAGATCATCATTAGTGACGGCCTATGACAAATTTGAAAAAAGTTACAAAAAATATAATAATCTTCCAAGCTGACCTTAGAAGTAAAGGAGTGTTAAATGTCAAGCTTCTGATGTAGTCACAGGTTTGAACAAAAGTGCTCAACTCCACCCTATAATAGTATTAATTGGTTTGGTTTTATCAGAGCTGTTTCCTCATGTAAAATACGTCCAAATACAGTTGAAGTCAGAATTATTAGCCCCTCTTTAAAGTGTTTTTTTTTTAATATTTCCAAAATTATGTTTAACAGAGGAAGGACATTTTTATAGTATGTCTGATAATATTTTTTCTTCTGAAGAAAGTCTTATTTGTTTTATTTCGGCTAGAATAAAAGCATTTAAAAAACATTTTAAGGTCGAAATTATTAGCCCCTTTGATATAGTGTTTAATCTGTATTCATGTGGCGTCTCATCTATGTATAATATGACATATTGAATCCATTTTCCAGGTATGTCAAGACGTGCTGAAAAACGTCAGTATCTGCAGTGACCCTGAGCACCACAAAGAGTATGAGCATGTTCAGACTACATCCTCCTACATCTTTCTTCAGTTCAATGCCATCCTCAGCCTGGTCTCCATCCCTCCTGCCATCATGCTGGGCTCGTGGTCAGATAGCGCTGGCCGTCGATCAGTCATGGCTCTGCCGTCAGTTCTGTCTCTGCTGAGTGGAGGCTTGCTCTTGGCTGTATCTCTTCTGGACAACATCAGTGTTTACTGGACTCTGATGGCTGCCGCTTTAATGGGCCTGACAGGCGGCCATGTTTCCATATTCCTCAGCTCTTTCAGCTACCTGGCCGACTTGACCATGGGCTCCAGTTCCACTCGCACTTTGCGTATGGCAGTGGCCGAGTCCATGATTTTTGTAGGAGGCACGATTGGCTTCCTACTTGGCGGATTCCTGGAGCAAGAATTCGGGCTTCAGGCTGCATTTGGGGCTTACATTGGCTGTCATGTTCTGGTGTTGCTTTATATTGTGCTTTGGCTGAGAGACCCCTCGGTGGGGAAAAACACACGTTTAGTTCTCTGCAAAGAGGAGACGGCTGAAAGCGGATCTCAGGAAGATCAGTCTCGGCTGTTTATCCTAAAGTATGCCAAGATGTCTTTCAAAGCAGTGTTCAAGAGGAGGTCAGGGCAGGAGAGGATGAAACTGCACTTTCTCATGCTCTGCACTTTCATAAATAACCTGGTGGCTGTAGGTCAGTGTATACATTTTTACACACACACATCTATATATTCAACCTGTCAAGAATACCACAATTATATTAATCCTAAAACTGAAAATATAAATAAATATATTACATAAAAAAATACTTTAAATAATACTATAAAATATATTTTGCATGATCACACAATAATAATTAACAATTATTATTATTATTATTATTATTATTATTATAATTATTATTATTATTATTGCATCATCATCATTATTATTATTATTATTATTATTATTATTTTTATTATGAATAATAATAATAATAATAATAATAATAATAATAATAATAATAATAATAATTCTAAATGTATTCCTTTTTCTTCTACTTATTTTATTATAAATTGTATAATAATAATAATAATAATAATAATAATTATTATTATTATTATTATTATTATTATTATATAACTACATAAAATGTATTGAAATAATTTATTGTTTAATTATTTTAAATAACTATACATTATCTTATAAAAATACTTACACTTTAATTTCTAACACTGAATAAAATAAAATAAAATTTATATAAAAATGACAAGCACCAATAAAAAATACTAGCATGATTTATTAATTTTCCAATTTATATTAACTATTAATTTAAAATATAATTAATATATTTATCATTGTATGTATTAAAATTATCATGTTATATTTAAAACACATTCAGTTCCCTACAAAGAGAATAAGGTTGAGAAATAATCTCAAGAAGACCCACAAAGTCACTGAGCCATTAGAGAGTATATATACAAACTTTCATATTTTGTGTTAATTTTATTATGCTACTATATAATGTACACTACATCTTACATATCCAATAATTATATTTTAACACAATAAACAATTAAATATAATAAAGCAAATACTCAAAAATCTATAGATTTTTGTCTTGTTTTCATACATTCTCCACATAGCAATATTTCTCTGGCCAAGCTTTGGCCCAAACAGTCAGCTTTTGCTTGGCTCACATGCTGCAGTGAATTGCGGTACATGACTGGACCAAGTTTGGCTTTCTGACAAGGACCAAACATGGACCACATCTGGGCCAAGTTTCAGCCAAGTTAATAACCCATAACTGGGTCTGAACTGGGTCAAATTTGACCCATGTTTGGCCTTTGTCTGAAAGCCAGATTTGGTGTGCCACAATGAAATGGATGAATCCATGAAACACTTTAGATGCACTAGGGGTGTTATTTTATTCTATCTTATTAAAAAACTGACTTTGACATATGGTAAATATTAATATCATTTCTTAAATAATAATAATTTGGTTTAGGGTGATGCAGTGGTGCAGTAGGTACTGCTGTTGCCTCACAGCAAGAAGGTCGCTGGTTCGAGCCTCGGCTGGGTCAGATGGCATTTCTGTGTGGAGTTTGCATGTTCTCCCTGTGTTCGCGTGGGTTTCCTCCGGGTGCTCCTGTTTCCCCCGCAGTCCAAAAACATGTGGTACAGGTGGATTGGGTAGGCTAAATTGTCCATAGTGTATGAGTGTGAATGAGTGTGTATGGATGTTTCCCAAAGATGGGTTGCAGCTGTAAGGGCATCCGCTGCGTAAAATATATGCTGAATAAGTTGGCGGGTCATTCTGCTGTGGCAACTCCGGATTTATAAAGGGACTAAGTGAATGAAAAAATGAATGAATGAATGAATGAATAATTTGGTTCATCAAATATATGCAATGTATGTTAAATTCAATAATTTTGCAACATACAGGAATGAATTAAGATTAATAATTCAAATGATTAAATCTTGATTGTTTTCTGGATTAAAATGAAGGCATTAGAGGATGCAAATAGCAAAATGGAAATGACTTTATGTATAAAAAAAATGTCTTTACTCAAAAAATAATTTAAATGGATTTTAAATATGGGCAGACCAAACTAATGTGGCACACATCAATTTTTTAACAACTGGGCCAAATTCTACATTTGACATCTGGCCCATGTCTTTTCTGCCACTTAAAAGACAGTACCACCTTTTCCAAACATGGGCCATGTTTGGCCCACATGCTGTATGCCAGTATATTCAGCTTTATGACAAATCTGGGCCAGAATTCTTTGTTACCTGGGACTCATTGAAGCTTTTGTGAATACATAAACATTTAGTAAATTGAATTTGAAATGAAAAATATTTGAAACAAGAAAAAAAAAAACATATTTGAAAGATTTCTTTGAAAAACTTTAAAGCCTCATTTTTCTTAAGTTAGTGTCAGCTTTGAGGCAGTAATGAATGATGAGTGCGGCTAATATGTTGCCGTTGGTCGAGCGGCTGTTTATGATGATAATACTGCTGAACCACTGCAGGCAGCATTTAAAGCACTCAATCTGACTACTGTCACTCCTCAGGCCACACACACACACATTAACATCTCTATAAAATCTTCAAACGAGTTATTGTTTGTCCTAAATATTTGCATCTTTAATTTTGCCTAATTTAATCATCGTTATTTTTATTTGACCATAACATTCAATAATTTCACTTGAATTACACACCGCACTGCTTTGAAAATCATCGATCTTTGGATGTCTTGCCAATAAAAGAGTTGCAGAAAAAAAAAAAAAAACGAGAGAGAGAGGGACATAAATAATAACGTGCTTTTATGTGCATTTGTCTCCCCAGGGGAACAGTCGATCTTGCTGCTGTATTTGATGTATGAGCCGAGAGAGTTCACAACTGCCCTGTTTGGGGTTTTTAACTCAGTGAAGATGCTCTTGTTGGTAAGTGCTCTTGTTTAATGCAGTAATGCTTTCTCAGATGACTCATGTCTCTCTGCTAAACCGTGAGCCGAGATCAGCCGATGTCCTTGAAATACCACTAAAGCCGTAGATTTCAGCCTCGAGCAGAAGAAGAACGGCCATTGACTGGACACAGCTGCGTGTCTTCGCTTTCTCTTCATTTCCCTCTTTTCTTTGCTGGCAAATGCACAGCTGAGCATAATAACCTTGCACACACCCCTTGCACAGCCCTTTGATAAGCTAACATGTTTGTGTTTTTAATATGGGATTTTCTTTCGAGAGGAAATGATAGGGTGAAGATAAAGGAATGACAACACATAATAAAATAGCAGCATCAGCTGAGTCTGTGACGCAGTTCTGCTGGCAGATGAGTAATGCAGCAATATGGCATTAAAGGCACAGTGTGTCATTTTTGGTCACTAGAGGGTGCGTATTCACAACAAACAAAGGCTTAGTTTGATGACTAAACACTTTAGCCAAGTGAGGAATCATGGGAGTTGTAGTCATTACATTACATACGCACTAACTAAAATGATTTTTCTGGATTTCTTTGAAACATTTGGAATGATGCAAGTACATAAGTCAGCAAAATAAACACTCGCTGGCCACTTTATTAGGTACCAGGTTGGACCTGGTTTTGCCTTCTGAACTGCCTCAATCATTTGTGGCAAAAATTCAACAAGGTACTGGAAATATTCCTCAGAGATTTTTATCCATATTGACATAATAGCATCACGCAGTTGCTGCAGATTTGTCGGCTGCACATCCATGTGAATATCCCATTCCACCATACCCTAAAGGTGCTCTTTTGGATTGAGTTCTGGGGACTGTGGAGGCCATTTGAGTGCAGTGAACTCATTAACATGTTCAAGAAACGAGTCTGAGATGATTCGCGCTTTATGGCATGGCCTGTTATACTACTGGAAGTAGCAATCAAAAGATGGGTACACTGTCGTCATAAATGGATGGACATGGACTACATCAGGTAGGCTTTGGCATTGACACGATGCTCAGTTGGTACTAATGGGGCCAAAATGTGCCAAGAAAATATCCTCCACACCATTACACCACCCTCACCAGCCTGAACCATTAATACAAGGCAAGATGGACCCATGGTTTCATGTTGTTTAAAGTGTAATTTAAAGGCTTAACTAGGTTAATTAGCTTAATTAGGCAAGTTAGGGTAATTAGGCAAATCACTGTATAACTGTCACAACCACCAGCCATCTAGCCCATGCAGATCGCTGGAAAACTACAAACCTGCCACCAAATGAATTAAAAATGCCATCATACCTGTACTCACAAAGGCAGTTCAACTCGCTGATTGCACACACACAGCTGGTAACTCATCATGGACCGACAACCTGGACTTTATATTTACCTCTCTCACACACACACACACTTTGCTGAGTCTTGTTTAGTTATCCTATAGCATTATTCCTGTCTAGTATTCCCGTGTTTAGATCCTTGCCTTGTTTTCCCATTCTTGATACCTTGCTGCCTGGCTTGACCATTTGCCTGCTTTTGTCTACGATCTTGAATTACCTTCATGCTTCTGTTTTGCTCCTGTTTCAACTCCATTGTCCAGTATCCTACTGATACAATAATTATGGTTTGTTCTGTAGACAATCAAAAAAGTATTACTAATAACAGGAAGGTAATGATATTGACCTTAAATTTGTTTTTTACAACTTAATTTTTATTATATTAAAACAAATAAGACTTTCTCCCCAATTTCTGTTTAAAGGAAAGAAGATTTTTTTCTATACATTTCTAATCATAATAGTTTTATGTCCTTGATCTGTTAAACATAACTTGGGAATAATTTAAAAAAGAAAAAAAAAATGGAAGCAAAATTAAAATTTATTACTTCATCTGTAACATTGCTCTAGTGTGGATATTTTAATGAAAAAAAATGCTATAGATGTTGTGGGATGTACCCACTTATATGCTGTAAAATGAAAGAATCTACATGGTCAGCAATGTTCCTGTCTTTATGAGTGTGAGTAATGAGATGACATGCTAAAGGTCTGAAATAAGCAGATGATTGTCACATGATGTCATGGTTCTTTGTCGTGGTATGTCTACGCAACAGTTTTTAGGTGAAAACAAAACACTTTTTTATGCGTTTTGGTCGTTCATTTACAAGGTGCAAAAAGAACCAGTTTCAAAGTGCACATTTCTGAAATTATAAAATTATTGTCTCCATGTTAATTACAAAAGAGCATTATCCTAAAAACATTAGAAAATAATTTATAGTCATACATGAGTAATGGACAATACTGTATTTATGATTTCATTTAAATTAAATTTTACTTTATTTTGTTCTATTAATAAGTGAAAGTTTGGTCATCACTCTCCCTTCACTTGTTCCATTGTTTATTTCCTATGTTAAAAAAAAACAGAACAGAAAAAATATACTCTGAAGAATGCTGGAGAAAAAAAAAAACAGCCATTGACTTCTTCTATTTTAAATTACATTTTTAAAGCTTGTGCATCATCCCACTCCATTTTGACCATGTTGAAATTTATTTTGTTTAAAGAATTACTTTGGTATGATTTTTCTGTTTGAAATAAATCAAATCATTAAACTTGATCTGTTAAGTTATTACCATTGTTACTGTCTTTTTTGTATAGTTTCAAATTTTGTATGTTTGTTATTGACGTCAATTTCATAATAATAATAATAATAATAATAATAATAATAATAATAATAATAATAATAATAATAATAATAATAAAAATAGTAATAATAATAATTATCATTATTATATTATTATTATTAATAATAATAATAATAATAATAATAATAATAATAATAATAATAGTCATAATAATAATAATAATAATAATAATAATAATAATAAATAAATAAATAAATAATTGAATATATAATACATAAAAAAGGATGGAATACGTTTCATGTAAAAAGAAGAAGTAACTAAAAGAAGAAAAAAGTTGAAGTGAGGGCATGGTCGTTCAGTGGTTGCACTGTTGCTTAATAACAAGAAGGTCACTGGTTCGAGTCCTGAGTCAGTTGGCTTATTGTCCATAGCTAAATTGCCCATAGTGTATGTGTGTGAATGAGAGTGTATGGGTTTCCCAGTAAGGGGTTGGAGCTGGAAGGGCATCCGCTGTGTAAAACATGTGCTGGATAAGTTGGCGGTTCATTGCGTTGTAGTGACCCCAGATTTCTAAAGGGACTAAGCGGAGAAGAAAATGAATAAATGATTAAAATTGAGTGTATGAATGAGAGTGTATATGGTTTCCCAGTACTGGGTGATTGGAAGGGCATTCGCTGTGTAAATCATATGATGGAAAAGTTGGTGGTTCATTCATTTGTGGCTACTCCTATTAAATATAGACTGAGCCGAAGGAAAATTAAGGAATGAAGTTAAAAATGTGGTAATGGGGTGGGAAAATTATAAGCTGTGCTTCATCCCACTTCATTTCGAACTAGCTAAACTCATTTGTTATTGTAAGTGTACATGGATAAGTGAATATTTTTGTTGATTACGATGAAAATTATTTTGTTTGAAGAATTGCTTCAAGTATATGATTATCTGTTCAAATTAAATCAAATCTAATCAAGAAGAACAACACTAATAATACTTTGAAATATCTGGGAACCAAATCAGTATTTGTTAAAGACTTCTGAAGGGCTGAGTCACTTTGAAGACTGGAGTAGTGATGTTGAAAATTCATCTTTGACATTACAGGAAAAAAAAAAAAAAACACATTTGAAAGTTTATAAATAAACATATTTCTGCAGCATTTTTGATTAAATATATACATAAGAAACTCTGCATAAATACTGACCCTAAAGCTTTGAATATCAAAAGTAATTTTGAAAGATGTTATGAAATGAATATGAAATAGAGCAATATAGGATGTTCACCATTTTCTAATAAGAAACTCTATGCAAAATAAGAGTTCTACTATTGACAACCCTTTACAAAAAAGTCATTGTGCTATTCCTTCACTGAGGCATTATTAGAACAGCTCTGCAGTTTGAGTCTGTCTGTACAGCAGCAGTGATGGAAACCAGGTTGAAGTCTGCTTTGTTTTTGCTGCCCATCATGAGGAGCCCTTCCTCTGAGCAGGTCGATTCAATGTCTCAGAGTGACACTTAAACAAAGCCTGCCAGTTAAGAAGACACCCTTCCCGATCGGAGAGGTGATGGCTCTCCATTTATGCCAGGACGCACCACTGGGGCTCCAATCGCTCGGCTGCCTTTTGTGTGCATCGATCCTGATAGAACCTATTATACAATCTGTCTGTAGGGGATGTCAGCTAACACACTGCCACCCAATACACCCAGCAAAAAGTTTTAATTAACCACAATTGAAAGAGTCAATTGAGGGGAAAAAAAGCGGACAAAGAAACTTTTTTTGAATACAAAAGGAAGCTGATCTTGTACAGTGCTGTGCAATCGTTTTAGGCCATTAGTATTTTTTGCTAACAACAACAAAAACGGTCAGTTGTTTCTATATTCTATATGTGTCAGTAGGTAATAGCAGTTTACATTTTCAAACATTATTTTTGGCCATTTATTGTAATACAAACCTAAATCAGAAAAAGGTGGAACAGTATGGAAAATGCAAATAAAAAATCAAAGTGATTTTTAAATTTATTTTGACTTGTATTTTATCGCTGACAATACAACAAACATTATTTAATTTTTTTTGAACGCGTATACCAATTTTGCAAATTTCTAAAAAGTTGAAACTATAAAGCATTTACTGCTTTTTAATGTTGCCATTTCTTTTCGCAAAACACAGAAATAATATGCCAAAATTAAGTGAGTTTTTTTGTAAAGGGCCACGAAACCCCCCTGTTTCAGTAGAGCGTTTTCACACCTCTAGTTTAGGGGGTAGTGTCGGAGGAGGAAAAGAGGGAAGTTGCATAAAAAATTGCATAAAAATGGGAGTTTCGGCTGATTTTCATAGAGACAAAAAAAAAAAAAACACACACAGACGAACAAATTGTTGCAACAAATTATAAAAGCAACACTGACAACCTGTTTCTCCAAAAAAATCTTCCCACTTGTTTTTGAAACAGAACGTGGCGTCTCTCTGTTGTCTGAACACTGTAAAAACAGTCCTCAAAGCTGTCATGCATATTAATGAAGTTGCACCGCATACAATACACAATAGAGTGTGCTGATCGGTTTTAGCCAAGTCTTTCTCATTAATTAACGCAGCACACTCAGTGGTGTCACAAAGTACTCAGAGGTACAGACATTCAGTCTCCATGCTGAAATACATGCAAGTATCTAATCGCCGTGACGCAGCTTCAAAAATTAGTTTCAAACCGGAAGAACGAATTTGTTGAAATAACGCAAAAACAACCAATTTTCACTTTTTTTGAGAAATATATGTGTCCTAATAGTGTTTTTAGCAGCGTGGGACACATATTTGACTGTCAACATCTAAAAAAAAAAATGTGTTTTGGTGTTTCGTGGTGTTTCAGACTATCTTGCTTGTTTTAAGACAGAAATCACAAAATTTTGGCATATATTTTCTTAAAACAAGACAACATGTTTTGCTTATCTATAAAATTCTTCTTGATTTAACAATTTTTAAATATTTGGACAAGAAACAAGACAAAAAATCTAAGTAAGAAAAATATTTTTTGCAGTGCAGTAGCTTAAGACATTTTCACATCACTGTACTTCTAAAGATCTAAAGTGTCAAACCCTTGGCAGGTCTGGTTCTGGTGAATGCCTGACTCCATGCTTGCGGTTTTTTTATAAATGGCTGTAGGGCTGGAATTGACTTGTAATTAGGGTGGCGTGGAGTTGGTGGGGGAATTATTAAACACTCCAGGCTCTAATGAGTTGATGAAAGTAAAAACACAGCGAGTTGACCTTTTCCATGGAATGTTTATGCATTCCCATTATGTTTTGCGCTGCGAATCAGAGGCTGTGGCGAAGTCTGTTGACACCAGGCCCTTGCCGGGCAGGAGGGGTAATTAAATCAGAACTGCTTGCATGAGCAGGCAGGGCAAATGAGTCATGGCGCATCTCTCACGCAAATGGGGACGCAGGTTAGTTCGCCTTCAAGTGCTCTCAGACGCTCGGAGTGAGACAGCCTGACTGTTTTTGACACCGTTTCATCAGGCACAAACCCTGAAGGTTAATTAATTCACTGGTTAGCTTTAGCCGCATCTGAGAGAATCTAAATATTTATGGGCTTTGTCTTATACAAGCTGAACCAAACTGCCAAGTGCTTATGTATTCTAGTGCTGCGCCTATGTATTTCAGATATTATTCAGCTGTTATAGTGCATTATTTGACATCAGCATCATTTCAACCATCTTGAATTATACACTCACGCTAGTTCCAGGTTGGATAGCTTTTGCTTTCAGAACTGTTTCTTTATTCTACACGGCATAGATTTACTGTAGCAAGGTGCCTGAATCATTCATTCATTCATTTTCCTTCAGCTTAGCTTATCTATTGTTCATCAGGGGTCGCCACAGCGGAATGAACCGCCAACTTATCCAGCATATGCTTTCCACAGTGGATGCCCTTCCAGCGGCAACCCAGTACTTGGAAACATCCATAAACACGCATTCACACACATACACTACGGGTAATTTAGTTTATTCAATTCACCTATAGCGCATGTCTTTAGACTGTGGGGGAAACTGGAAACCCAAAGGAACATGGGAAGAACATGAAAACTCCATACAGAAAAGGCACATGAACCAGCCGGGACTCAAATCAGCGACCTTCTTCCTGTGAGGTGACAGTGCTAACCACTGAACCACCATATCGCCCACCTGAAACATTCCTAAGAAATTTTCCATCATCATTGATTGGTGTTGTTCACTGCACATCAACGATGTGAGTATGCCAATCCAGCAAATTCCAGATGCCCTTTTTGCATTGAGATCTGATGATTATGTAGGACGTTTGAGTGTGTTGAACTTGTCAAATGATCGCATTGTGGTCATAGTGGGGTGGTCATGGTCAGCAAAATTTCTCAGGTAGCCTGTGGAGGTTAAATGATGTTAATCTGGGACTAAATATGCCAAGAAAACACCCCTCAATGTGAGGCATTCGCTTTTATGCCAAATTCCTACTTTACCACTTGAATGGTGCAGCAGAGTCAAGGATTAGGATCAGTCTGAAACTTTCGTATGTGTTTTTTTCGTATTCATATCAGTTTTTTTGTTCTTAGCAAAACAGAAGTGACCAGTGTATGCCTTTAGGCGCTGCCATGTGATTGGCTGATTAAACATCTGTGTTATAAAGTAGTTGAATAATATAGTGATCAATGGGCTCTTTCAGATTTAGGAACAAAAATCCTACACACTGACACTGTATGAGAAGCAATCGCTCTTGAAAAAAACACCTAGCAAATTTTGAGAACAGCCTAACAACCGTCCAACAATGACAACCACATACAGAATATTATGATTTACACTGATATAAAGCTGAAGAGAGAGCAAAATCCAGCCTTTTCAATAAGCATCGCACAATCAGGAGTTTTGTGTGAGTGTGAATAATTTCCTTAGGCAGATTACACATCTGGTTTAAGATGGTTGTATTTGGTGTGGTTTGAAAAAGACTTCTGTTTGAGCTGTGTTTCATGTATTGCTACACTATTTACTATGGACCTTTTCTGACTGCAATTTTTTTGTAAAAATAATAATAATAACAATAGTATATCGTGCTTTGATTGGCCAAACTGGCTGTCAATCAAAAAATGCCAGAAAGTGACTAGGGTACAATATATCAGCAATATTAATAGACATTATTAGACCTGTGAATCAAAACATGGTGGAAAGTGACGGGCACAGAATATCGGCATTATGAATGGCCAGATTGCCTGTATTTTAAAATTTGTGAACAAATGACAGGGGCACATAATATATGTGATATGATTGACCACAATGTCAATTAAAACTAGCGGAAGGTTACAGGGGCAAAGAATGGTGGTGTTATTATTGGCCAGATTGCCTGTTAAAACATCAACAATTTGATTGGCCAGATCACGTTAAAATAAAAAAAAAATGAAGAAAAGTGATAGTGGTTTACAGAATATCTGGGTTTGATTGGCCAGATTGCCTGTTAATAAATAAAAATGGTGGAAAGTGACAAAGGCACAGAACATCGGCGTTAGGATTGGCCAGATCATCTGTCAATCAAACCGCCAGCAAAGAGTCAATTAGAGCAAAGTCCTTTTAAGGCAAGTCATTTCACTCGAGGGTCATCTTTCAACACCTTTCAGGCTGTATGCTCGGGCATTCTCTTTGATTGGGAAAACATCAAATTCTCCAAAATTGCTTGCCAAGCTTACGATTAAATTTCATATTAGGAATCACCAATAAAATTAAACAACAACAGTCTCTTTAGTTTCACTTCTAAACATTCAAATTACTCAAAATCTGTAGAAACTCACATCTGGTCCGAGACCCTCCCCTAGAGAATCGTCAGTCTAAATCGATTGATATTGACCATACGCTTTTCCCTCTTCAAAACTATCCGAATGCCATGTCTTGTGTATTCTATAGTCTTTGATTAGAGTAAGTTAACTATGAAGCCACGGCTGATTGGATAATAATGGATCATTATATAGCTTTTGTTCTATTATACTCTTTTTTAAAGGCATTTAAATACAATGGGGACCTTCAGCTATAATAGACTAGCTTCAACTAAATGGTGCCTGCTTTTTTTTTTCTTCATCTTGCCAGTGTGTTTAACCTGCTGTGCTGCTCTCTGGCAGGGCTTTGGTCTGCTGGGTCTTTTTCCTCTGCTGATGAGGTGTGTTAAGGAGATGACATTAGCCAAACTCAGCGCCGTCTTCAGAATCGCCTCTTACATCTTGCTGGCTCTCTCAAACAACACATGGATGGTGTTTCTCGGTAAGCTTCCATCACTCATATGACTCATATATGATTTATATTAATGATGTGTTTACACAATGAAGCTCCTTGCAATGTTATTGCATATGAAGAATGATCATTACGTTCAAGGTAATGTTGCTGGAGGGTCAATGACAACATGGTCATTTATTTTGTTCAGGTCTATTAATTAAAATAGAAATGCATTAAAATTTGTATTGCACACACACTGACTTGATTATGCATAATGTAAGAGATGCATGTTGATGATTGATATACAATAAAGCTTTTCTGTTTACTTGGGGACATTAAAAATTAAGGAAAATATATCAGCATATTATTACTATTATTATTATTAATTGTCTATTATTAATATTAATTCATTTTCTTTTCGGCTTAGTCCCTTTATTAATCAGAGATCGTTACAACGAAATGAATCGCCAACACATGCATTACACAGCAGATGCCCTTCCAGCTGCAACCCATCTCTGGGAAACATCCATACACACGCATCATTCACATTACGCACAATTTAGCCTACCCAATTCACCTGTACCGCATGTCTTTGGGCTGTGGGGGAAACCTGAGCAGCCAGAGGATATCCACGCAAATGCAGGGAGAACATCCAAACTCCACACAGAAATGCCAACTGACCCAGCCGAGGCTCGAACCAGGGACCTTATGGCTGTGAGGCAACAGCAATACCTAGTGCCCCACCGTGTAGCTTTTTATTATTATTACTATTATTGTTATTACAATTATTGTAATTATTAAGAGATTAAAAACACTTTAAAGACAACGAAATAAGTAACAATATTTATATTATATTATATTATATTATATTATATTATATTTTTTTATATTATATTATATTATATTATATTATATTATATTATATTATATTATATTATATTATATTATATTATATAGTTTGGGATCAACTCTGATCAAATTTTTTTTAATTATTAACAAACAATTAAATTAGATAAAAAAACAGCATTGTTCATTCTGTTTTATTCTATTATAGCCAGTGTTTCGTTCTTTCTTTATTTGTTTATTTATTTCATTATCAATTCTAAGAAACTAATTTATTAATCATGGGTACATTTAAGGAGGTACCTTTTCAAAAGGTGCAAATTTGTAGCTAAAAGGTCCATATTAATACCTCAAGGGTACATATTAGTACCTAAAAAGTACAAATTAAAGTTCCTCTTCAATTTTTAAGTATAGTGCTTATATATACGTTTGAGGTACCAATATGGACCCTTTAAGTACAAATGGTTACCTTTTGAAAAGGTACCGCCCCAGTGACAGCTTGTGTACCTTTATTTCTGAGTGTGTATTGAACTAAAATATATTTGCCTGTCATCAAGGCGGCAGATACTGAATAAGCTTTGTTACATCAAAAAAAAAAAAAATAAATAAATAAATAAATAAAAATAAATAAATAAATAAATAAATAAATAAATAAATAAATAAATAATAATAATAATAATAATAATAATAATAATAATAATAATAATAATAATAATAATAATAAACACTATAGTAAATACTATAGTGTTTGGAAGTTTTTGGAACTATACATAATTAGTTGACTTAAACTGCCATAGTAATTATATTGTTACTGTGTTATGACATTATTGTAGTAATAAACAAATTATTAAATAGGTGTCACAATATACTACAGTTTACACTAACATTACAGTAATGATTACAGTTTATCAGTTTACTATACTACAGTATGTGGTTATGTGGTATAAAAACATGTTTAGTATAAAATTACTATCATGCAAAAGTGTGGAAGCATAGTCTGGATTACTATTTATTTCTTTCTTTTTGTAAGGGGAAAGTGCTTCACAATTATAACCGTCTAGTTTTGCCACAAGGGTTGCATTTCTTTTGTGTATGGTCACTGAACTTACCATCAACAAACATTTACTGCTGCTGCGTGAATAGACGGTAACGTTATGGTTGTTTAATCCATCGAAACACCACAAGACTTGGATTACTGCAAAACAAGAGAGATTTAATTGCAGAGATTCCATGTCAGGGTGAGTTATATGTTCTCCTGGATATTGTATATGTGTGGTGTTTGTATCTGATTTTTATATAACACATTAACATATTTATACACATAGCTAGGCCTGTATATAATCTTGATTAGTGCTACCCCTTTATGCGCGAAAGCATTTGGAAGTTTATAAAAGCTGTTAGACATTTATTTTTTTGGCCGATTTAATTAATGATAAACAACATAAAACATTTTGTTGTTCTGATCGCGATTCCTATATAGAAGAATCACTTCCTGCCCTCCATCTAAGTCTTGCGGTCATAAATGACGTCATGTGAAAGCAACTTACACTATACGAATGAATGGTTCTGTATATAATATATAATAAACAACTTTTGGCCAGTAAATCAAAGACTTCAGAAAACAAAACAAAACACTAGTGATGATAAAAGAGATTTGTATGATCTTATTATTATTTTTTTTAGCTGTCATTGACTTTGGAAGTGATGTTATGCTAATGACATTTGATACGCTGTCGCACAGCATCGGGGGAAATCCTTTACACTCCAAACCTTAAAGCTGGTTCGAAACAACATGACTGACCCTGTTTCAAATCTGTCAGCGAGCGTATCAAAGCGCATCTCTCTTCCCTCGAACAATGTAGATTTCTTTTGTCAGTATGTGACATGCACAAAGCAAACGTTTTCCACTCGAGGCCCAACAGTCTTCACTTCAGCTGACTGTTGTAACAAGACAGTCAAATGGGTAAATGTTCAGAAAAATGCTCTACCTGACCAGACTTTTTATGGTTCACATTCACACTGCTGTCTTGTTTCCAGAGGGGCCGCACCTCTAAAGACGAGTTTTCGGAGTGCTAAGTAATGATAACATTGTGCCAGCCGCCATAGATCGGCCTTAATACTGTTAATTAAATAAATGGTTGTGGGAAATTGTTATTCTAATCGATGTGGCGGATTGAAGCTTTTTAAAGGGAGATGAGTGGCGGCTCTGATGAATAATCAGCGCCTGGGAAGGTGGAATTTGCATGCTGGTCTTTTCTGTTGGCTGCGATAATGAGGGGCACAGCGGCGGCACACGAGAGTCATAACCTCCATTCGGAGAGTAAAGCGCATGTGTGACGCCTCAGAAATGGCACACACTCATAGAGAGAGACTCACTGCATACGCATCGGTGCAACTGCTGAATTTTTTTTGTTCTCCTGAGGATTTTCTTTTTCTTGATCACGGATTATCAGCGTCGAGCGAGTGACTTTACATTCTGAGCCATTAGGAAAAGCCCATGCTCTGTAATCACAATTACCTCGCAGAATTTCATACATACAGATTAAGCTCATGAATTATTGAATATTCCATTTACGTTCACTTACACTTCGGAGCTGCTTTCAGCATTCTTTAAGCATCACCGCATAGATTAGTTAATTGTGGGATTTTTGTTTAACTTGAAAGAGGATGTGGGTGGTTTCGGTTCTACTAGTGGCTTTTAGTGGTATTAAAAAAGTAAAGGATGCTTTCTAATGACCTAAAGTAGATCCAGGCCATTGTAATCACATGTTATTACATGGCTATTTGGAATATTTGATTGTGATTGGCCAGTCACAACATTCCAAGATAAGTTATTTCTAGATAACAACTGCTAAATAACAGGCTTATTGGGGAACTTTGAATCACATTGAGCTGGCAGTGAAGAGGCCTACATTCACATCCATATAGCCTAAAAGCTTTATTCTGTGATAAGGACATCCTGGATGTACTTTATCCCTAATATAATACCCGAGAGTCTTATCTGTAGCTCAGCGCAATATAGCAATTCTTTGAATGGGAATCGCTAGCTCTAATAAGGAGGCTAAAGTCTATGACCCCTAGTGTCTGTTGCTAGAGCACCCTCTGAGGTCAGAGGACTAAGATTTACCTGCATAGTACTTCGCTAGCTGGCCTCCATTACACTCACCCCCCTAAAGCTCACAACCATCCCGGACGAGCCCCCACGTGAAACCCTACTTCACCCAACACTGAGGTGGGATCGAATGGGCAATTCTTTGTATGGGAGTTGGTTGCTCTAACAAGGAGACTAAAGACCCTGGCCTCTAGCGTTTGTCACCACCTCAGCACCTTCTGAGGTCAGAGGATTGAGGTTTACTTGCATAGCACTTTGCTAGCTGGCCTCTTTTACACATATAAATATGGATGTGCACTTATTTACTTACAGTCATATGATTTGAAGTAACCGTATGAGCCTGTGTTATTATTATCAGCAATTTTCTGACCAATCAGAATCAAGCATTGAAGAGAACTGCAAATATTATATGTAAATATTCATAAAAGTATTTTAACCCAGGACCACCAGCACCGCATGTTTTGGATGTCTCCTTTGTCTGTCACTCCCATTACAGGTCATTCTGTCTCTGTTAATGAGCAGATGATCTGAAGTAGCACATGTAGTAGTGGTGGCACATGGAACATGTGCAGAGCTTGTGGTCCAGCAGGAACGTGGTTGAGAAACACTGTTCTAATCCTAAGAAGTGCGACTGTTTTATATGGTGCTAAATACAAATGTGGAGTTTTAAAAAAAAATTATTTATTGAGGTGCATTTCCAAAAACCATTGTTAGACTAATACGCATGTCAATACACATGAAGAAAGGTAGGTGTAGAAAGGCAGTGAAAGCCCAGACAGTGGCTGAAATCTCTCAGTAGTCATTCAGCAACCCTCTGCCCTTCCTTATTGTAAATTAATATTAGCTGCTTCAGTGCAATTGACTCTGTATATCGACAGAATTGACCATGTTTATATCGACAGAATATAATGTTTCATTGACTCCATTCCAACATCCAACCAGTCAAGTGTGTGACTGTAACTATACCTCTATAGCTGTGATTAGAAGCAGAGTTCTTGGCTGCATTTGATTCCAATTTATCTCCCTATATATGCCCTATTCATTTCAAACACTTGAAACACCATTCACTCTGAATGATTAAGAAAGTTGTATTGTTCACATTTTATGGCATTTGCACTCAAAGTCTTTTTTAGGACAGTTCAGTTATAATGATCTTCAGACTGACAATTGTGCTTCCTTCTAAGCGCAGTTATATTTATGCTATTGTGTTTATTCTCTTTAAGATGCAGCCCCATGGATAAAAACCTTTTATGATTTGCAAGCGAAAATCTTTTACTTTTCAAAGCTAGGAAAAAACAACACATCTACGTTAAGGGTTTTAATTTATATAAACATTAGGCCTATCTGTGCTGTATGTATTCAACATCACCGGACTGTTTTGAGTATAATGTCAAAAATTTTAAAAATAATTAAAATAAAGATATTTTACACTTGTGTAAAATTTATTTTAGAAACCAAATATAATTTTTAGAAAACAAATAAATAAAAAATATATTTACATGTCATTGTATGACCTATATAATTACAGCTATTAGAGATTACACATGCACATGCAGGATAGAGGTCATTTTAAGTACTTTTAAGTTTTGTTTACAATAATACAATAAAATATGGAATATTCTCAAAAATCTTTAAAAAAAAAGGATGACTTGTTTACCAATTAAGTATCTATTAAGTGTGCAGGGAAAGAGAAAGAAAGAAAGAAAGAAAGAAAGAAAGAAAGAAAGAAAGAAAGAAAGAAAGAAAGAAAGAAAGAAAGAAAGAAAGAAAGAAAGAAAATATAAAATGATACCTTGATGGGAGTTTGTTCACATGTTGTTTTTTTATGTCCTGGTCATACAGTAGATAAAGTGTTGCACTTTAATGTGTTGGTTCTTTTAGGAATGCACTCCTCATTAGTTATGCATGAGGAACATACCACAAGGTTGCATGTTATAGCATGTTCCGGTTAACAAGTATGCATTTAATAAAGTACAGTCTTCACTTAAAAATGGACGTGTGTTAATTGCACAATTAACATTAAGGGCTCTATTTTGATGATTTGATGAAGTCCAAAGCGCAGGGCGCAAAAGCATTAAGGGCGTTTTGCTATTATAAGAATGGAAAAATCCGCTTTGCGCCGGGGTACATTATCCAGCAGGTTTGAGCTTATTCACATAATGAGTTATAGGTGTGTTTCGAGAATAAACCAATCAGAGTCTCATCTCTCATTCCTTTTAAGAGTCAGTTGTGTTGCCCCAGTGTATTTGCTATTTACAGGGCGGACTTTGTAAATGGAAAAACTGAACACTTCACTAGAGAGAAAACAGAGTTAAACAGATCATCTACAGCGCGAGAATGAGGGATGAGCCTCCTCATTCTTTACTTTCACTTTCACTCTCGTGGGTAGGGAAACAAGTTGTATGCACAGACATCCATTAGTCTACACATAATTAATTTTGTTTGTTAAGCGCAAATATTTGTTTCAAAATGAATTCTAAATTCAGTTTTAGTTTCCAGAAAACGAATAAATGAACAATAATAACGAAGTGTGCTAAAGTTATATCCAGGCCCGGATTAAGAACTCAGGGGCCCCTGGGCACGTTGTCTTGTAAGGCCCTCTACCTGGCCGCACCCCTATAATTTAATAAATAAAAAAAAAAAATAGGAATAATATAGTAATTTTTAAATAAAATGAATCTATAAATTGTTGTCCACATATTTAAATAAATGATATATAGTACATATGTATTTCTAGTCTGCAAAGATTGAACTTATTTTTCAAAGCATTGAATAAAAATACTAAAACTTGTGAAAATTAATGTTTTTAGTATACTTGTTCAAGTTCACTAAAACAGTAATATATATATATATATATATATATATATATATATATATATATATATATATATATATATGGGGTATTTTAATCTATTGCTTTTACAAACTTATAAAGCATATTATTGGCTTGCCATATAACACACTATGCCTCTCCAATCCAGTTCTATGAGTCTTTCATAATACACACACTTATTAATGATTTACTGTCTCTCTCCTCCTCTCCCTGTATTCTCTCTACTCTCCTCGTGATGCAAACAGCATAGACCAACTTTATTTTAAACCTAAAAGTATCCATAATCACACACACTATACCTCTTCTCTCCCCTCTCTCCTCTTCAGGGCCTCTCTCTCTCTCTCTCTCTCTCTCTCTCTCTCTCTCTCTCTCTCTCTCTCTCTCTCTCTCTTATTTTTCTGTCTGTCTCTCACACGATGAATCCAGTCCACCCTGCGCTGCCGTTAGCCTCCTCCGCCTGGTTAATGCTAAAGCTACTCATTTAACGTTACCATAACGTCTTCTTCTATACCCTCATTTTCCTGATCATGGGTCTGTTTGAAGAAGGTGTGTATGGAAAAGGCCTCAATAAAGATTCCTCCTCTCCTCTTTCTCTTGCATTTGCTAAATCCACTTGTCCACTCATTTTTGATCTATGACAAATACTAACGTTACACTACAGTCTGCTCAGTTAAGTGCGGGATATTTCAAAACTGACGTTTCCGCGCTTGACCGATTACAGCATTCTGTTTAGTTAAAGAAACAAAAAGACAATTTAAATGTAATAATAATAATATTAATATGTGATAGCGATTTTTTTTTTTTGCTTAGAGGGAATACAATTGTCTGAGCAATATAGTTTTTACAAAGAGGGAAGCACCTTTATTAAGGCTAAACATTATTAAATACCCACGAGGCACTTGTGACTTTATATCACATTTGCATTACTTTTTAAAAATGTTTCCTTCCTGTTAAAAATAAATATATTTCCAATATGATATGTAATGGGGAGAAAAAAGTAGCACGAGTTCAGCCGATGGTGGATTCGAACCGTGTTGATGATCAATCGCGTCAAAAGATGTTGCTGTGCGCTCTACGAGGCATGCCACTCAGGTTGTACTAATGATTTGCTCTTTACTCATCTTGTCTCTATCAATCAGGCATCTACGGGTGTAAAACATGAACAGCTTATTCCTACTAGATGCGCTATTTGCAATTAGCCTAAAAAGACACTCCGAAATTGTCTTTTTTTTCTCCTCCCCTCGCAGGGGCCCCAAGTGCGCACGGGCTCCTGGGCCTGTGCCCATAAGGCCCATTGGTTAATCCCGCCCTGGTTATGTCCAAATACACATGCTATGCCTTATTTGGTCTAAAACCTGGTAGGTGGGCAAATCTAAGCTTGTTTTTAATGAAACAAATATAAATATGCATATAATAAATAATACTACTAATAATAGTAACATTATACAAAAGCACATTGTTAAGAATAAACTGAAAAAGCCCCCCGAGATGAAGAAGGCATGAAGGCAGAGGTTTTTATATTTATGTGGGCTGGAAAATAATAATTTTTATAATATTTAAATCTTTAAATTATTTTTCATTTGTAAAAGTATTTGCTTATTTACATGCCTGCCTTTTTTAGCCCAGACTGGCTCAAATGCATTTGCTATTTAAAGAGCGTGGTGCAAAACGTAAAAACAACTCTTGCTCCAAGCTGCACCACATTGTGCCGGTGGTATGATAGGGCACTAAAGGTTAGTAATACTTACTCTCAGAAGAACTTTAAGTTATAGAACACACACATTAAACTACTGTAGGCTTTAAAAATAAACAAATAAGTTCACCTAACACATATCAGACATTTTCAATGTGGTCTGCAAATGTAATGTGGCATTTACTTTACATATGTTGAGAAAATTTGTATGCACGATTTTTTCAAATCGATTAAGATGTGTGCATAGTTTAATTGTTTTTCTGTTTGCTTGTTTTTTCTTAACTTTCAGTGCATTTGAGCTCTATCGTCCACTGTAACTGTAGCATAAAATGTGTTCACAACCTGTTGTTTTGGCAGGTTGGCATCAAAACTGTTTCTAGACTAACATAAAAGATTTGAGCTCTAATATTTACAGGATAATGACCTACAATAATGAGCTACAATAAACTCTAATATTCTGATTTCTCACCTCATTGCCCCTTTAATATACTTAAATGTTCACTATTAATCTCACCAGTTTTTTGAACTTTCTGACGTGGTGTTTAGGTTTGTGTGGTCTGTCCTGTGTTTTTTTGTGTAGTTGCTGTAGTCGGTGCTCCATCTGGTATCAGTCAAGCAGTGATTCGTTCTTTGTCTTCTGCCATCGTGGGACCTGATGAACAAGGTACAGTAATGCGTTATAAAATAGTACGAAACAGCATAAAAGTATTTAAAATTTAAACTGTATCTATTTGGAAGTGGTAGCCTAACTGCAAAAATGTTAGATTTAAAAATAAATACCACAGTAATAAAATATTTTTACAATAAGTACAGTATGCATTTTTATAAAGCTGCATTAAGGACTAGAGGTGGGTTTTCATCACCCTGTGTTGATGCACAATTTGTAAGACTGCATGAGAAATGAGTGATGGAACTGACAAATTCTGAATAAAAACAAACAAAAAAGTTTTTTTTATGCTTACTTGAAGTGTTTTTAGTTTCAAAAGGGGAAATAGAGTTACTGAAAATTGAAGATAACAATTAATTTGAGGAATCAACATTAGCTGTGTCTCATTTCAAAGATTGACTTCAATGTAGAGCCTGGCGATACAGTAAAAAAAAAAAAATAACAAAAAAAAATAAATAAAATAATATATATATATATATATATATATATATATATATATATATATATATATATATATATACAGTTGAAGTCAGAATTATTAGCCCCCTTCAAATTTTTTTCTTCTTTTTTAAATATTTTCCAAATGATGTTTAACAGAGCAAGGAAATTTTCACTGTATGTCTGATAATATTTTTTCTTCTGGAGAAAGTCTTATTTGTTTTATTTTGACTAGAATAAGCATGTTTTTTTTATTTTTTAAACACAATTTTAGGGACAAAATTATTAGCCATTTTAAGCTATATTTTTTCTCAATAATCTACAGAACAAACCACTGTTATACAATAACTTGCCTAATTACCCTTACCTGCCTAGGTAACCTAATTAACCTAGTTAAGCCTTTAAATGTCACTTTAAGCTGTGTAGAAGTGTCTTGAAAAATATCTAGTAAAATATTATTTACAGTCATCATGGCAAAGATAAAATAAATCAGTTATATGAGATGAGTTCTTAAAACTATTATGTTTAGAAATGTGTTGAAAAAATTGGGGGGAAAAACAAACAAGTGGTCTAAAAATTCAGGGGGGCTAATAATATATATATTAAGGTATATATATATATATATATATATATATATATATATATATATATATATATATATATATATATATAACATTCAAAGGGGGGCAAATAATTCTAACTTCAACTGATTATGATAGTTACTAATGATACTACATAATGTAGTGTAATTTATTAATGCAAAGATGTAAATTTAAAATGCTCATTCATAAATATTTCCCTTTATTATAAATTACTAGTAATTCAAATGTGTAACAGCTGGTTTTATTGTATTTTTAGTTTTTACTGTTATATCCTATAATTTGTTTCAGTTTAGTACAGCATATTATTTACAGTAAATCACTTAACTGAACAGCTATGCCTCACATGTTTCATAGACAGTTTTATTGATCACTGATATGATTGACTTGGTTTTAAGTTGCTTTGATTTAAAAATTAAAATTGCAAAAATAGCTAATTACCTAAATTTTTACTAAAATTTTGATTTTGTAACAACAGTAAAAACATTGTTATAAGGTCTGGCTTTGTGGTGGGTGTACTTTAAAATTAAATTCATATAATGTAAATTAAGTAATGAAATATTTTGGAATTCTAACAGAAAACAGAACTACTGCAAGGTCCCACCTGCTTTGTATAAATAGTTGAAAATGATTTAGTTCAAATTATCCATTAAACCTAAAAGTGATAAAACTTTAAACTTTAAACCAAAAAGTAATTAGATGTAATCAGTTACTATACTTTTATAAAGTAATTGAATAGGTACACTATTATGAAATTTTAAAAAGGGTAATCTGTAATCTATTACATTTCCAAAGTAACCTCCCTAACACTGAAAATGAGACAAAGCTATTCCAAACGACTCCATTATGCTTGTCTTGTTTACTGTTGGCTGCTACGTTACCAATACTACAGTCAGCCACTCTAACAACTTGTGGGAAACAAGTCTAATTATTGTAAATGAAATTTCCATTTGAGTTAATTATTTTACTTTTTTCAAAGACTTGCCAGCTTTTGTGTGGGCTGTGTAAAAAGCCCTAACACTTGACTTTCTAGCGAAAACATTATGAATACAGTAATCTCTCAGTACCATGGTATTACCATCTGATACATTGTTCCTATTAATGCGTTTTCCATTGTGTAATGTGTACATGACATTCATGCTTTCTTCCTTCTGTTTGATCTACAAGTCCACAAATGAGCCTTAGGACCCTCAGGAAACTGCAAAGCGTTTTGACCTTCACTAAGACAAAAAGATTTGAGTCATGCGTTTCTTCTAAATCTTTCTTTTCTTTGACGTTTGTTTCTGCCTGATAACGTAGCTAAAAGCCCAAGATTTAATCTCCATTGTCCTTTCATGAATCCTTAATGAGAGGCGGTGCAGTACGCATAATTAACTGGAAGAACTGAACACCAGCTTTCTTAATAATACAAAAAAACAAAAGAATTATCAAACTCGCTTAAGTACAAAACAAAGCAACAGCAACAACAAACACTGCCATGAATAATTTTATTTCCACCTCAGTTTGTTTCCACTCACGCAGAGTTCAGCTATAAGCCAAAACGAAAAGGAAGTATCCATTTAGTCTGTGGACACAAACATCTTTCTTCCCATTACTTCTTTTTATTCTCTCGTTGATGCAAGAGTGCTACAACTGTGAAAAAGGCATGATGACAGGCTTCCCGGCCCATAAATGCACCATTTTCGAGTCGCCTCTTTCCACTTTGACAGCCGTTTTCTCGGCCGGTGTCTCAGATTGCATGTGTCACTCAGGTTATTGCAGTTAGCAGTCATTCGGGCCCTCACATGACTTCCAGCGCAGGCGGAGATCAATAAGCATTGCGTGTTTCAGGCACTTACGGGCTGGCTTGATGCTCGGCGACTCATTCTGCTCCAGTTAGTCAGAGCAGTCGTGAAGTTCAGCGTAGCTCGGGGAGATCTTTTATCAAAGGGGATCAAACCATTATTCATGGCCAACGATCTACTGCACACACCTCAAGTTTCCGCCGCCATTATTCTTTCACTCAGATAATATCAGGGGGTTATGAATTTCAAGTGCATCCACGGCATGATAATGGAGCGCTTGTTTTATTCACAACTCTCCAGATGTCTTTTGTTCGGAGTTTGTAATTGTGGGGCATGGATTGGCTGATTGGATTAATTAGAACTGACTTTCAAATTTGGATTTTTACTCTTTTTTTTTTTTTTCACTTCACAATTTAACATGTAATTCATTAAGTGTGACTCAAACGCTTTTTTTTTCACGTTTTTTTTCTTTGGAATTTTCATTATTAGTATGCAGTGTACAGTATTTAACCTCTAACAAAACCACTTTTACCCTTTTTTAATAACGCACATTTTTAAAATGGCAAATGGAAACAATAACAATTATATGTTTTAATGTTTGAATTTGCCTTTTTTTTGATTGTGTATATATAAACACAATACGTTAGATTCACATATAACAGTCTGTCATATGTAACAACACAAACTTGGTCTAAACTTTAGATGTAAATATCTAAAAAAAAAAAAAAAAAAAAACTAAATTAAATGAGATATAAACTAAATTAATATAAGGACACATATAGAAGAATGCACTGCTAAAAGTATTATAGTGATAATGAGAAATGAGAAACTCAGCTTTGAAAACAAATGCACTTTATATATTTATATGCACTTTATACTGTATATATTGCACCGCTACAAGTGTGATGTTGCATTTATCCGGCATAATCATATATGTAAAAAAGAAAATCAAAAAAAGAGTGTCAAAAATCCTTTTGTATGAGGAACTACTTTATTCCGCCATTCATTTACTTTGCAGCCGACGTCAGAACAGCAGAAACAGAACACCAACCTTACTTTAGAGCTAGTATTTGAATGATTCTCTAGTGTAATATCCAAAGTGATAACAAAACAGCTGATTTTGCTGACATTTTAAGATTATACGGCATAAAATGCCATCAGTCTATAGAGATTTTCCAGTATTTCTCTGTTGCAATTGGGAGATCACAATAATTATCCCCCTAAAAAGCCAAAACAAAGTGAACACTACCAGATTACTATGGTATAAATACAGCACTACAACATACAAAGTTACAAAGTTTTAACTCACCTAAAGACTTATTATGCAATATCTGTCACCTTCTTGTTGCAGATCGTCAACCCTTTGCTCTGCTCAATGACAGGCTAATGACTCGCTAAATCTCCTAAATTATAAATAAAATAAAGACTATCTTTATAAATAAAGTGCATAGTTGCAATCTAAACAACTACATTCTCGCCTAAAGTGCATTATGTTGTCCAACAGCTGTAAAAACTGTCCAAACTGTAGTGAGTTTATTGATCTGCTGTCACTCTAAGTGAAGTATGGGCGAAGAGGCTGTACAACTGCATATATTGCAGAATACCGCACGGCTATCAGCCAACCAGATTTGAGAGGCAGATAGAACTACTGTTTATATATATATAGACAGTTGAAGTCAGAATTATTAGCCCTCCTTTGATTTTTTCTTTTCCTTTTAATAAGACTTAATTGTTTTATTTGGGCTAGAATAAAATCAGTTTTTAATTTAGAAAAAATAATAATAAGGTCAAAATTATTAGACCCTTTAAGCTATTTTTTTTTTGACAGTCAACAGTACAAACCTTCGTTACACAATAACTTGCCAAATTACCTTAACCTGCCTAGTTAACCTAATTAATCTAGTTAAGCCTTTAAATGTCACTTTAAGCTGTATAGAAGTGTCTTGAAAAAGATCTAATCCAATATTATTCACTGTCATCATGGGAAAAATAAAATAAATCAGTTATTAGAAATGAGGTATTAAAACTATTTTGTTTAGAAATGTGTTGAAAAAATCTTCTCTGCGTTAAACAGAAATTGGGGAAAAAATAACCAGGGGGGCAAATAATTCATACTTTGCTGAACTAACAAATTTATTTTGATAAGTCAGAAGGATAAAATTATTATATGAGTAATATTACACACATAAATATAAGTTCTCGTGTGTTTTGTGCATTTTCCTCCTAACCAAAATATCCTCTAAATTCATGAAGCATGAATTGAATTCCCTGGCAGCCAGCTGAGCGTGATTTTGCTCCATTCCTGTTTCATGTTTTGATGGAGCTGAATTCTGATGTGTTCAGGTGCCATGTTCTCCTTCTCGGCCTCAGTGGAAGCGACCTGCATCCTCATTGCTGCTACCATCTTTAACGGTCTGTACCCTCTGACCCTCCCAACCTTCCCCGGGATGCCCTTTATCATCATGGCTGCCTTCATGCTCATCGTGCTCATTCTTTTGCAGTAAGACAATCATTATTTTATATAGAATCTGAATGTAGTGACTGCTCATATATTATGAAATGTGTCATTTCTTCCTGGGATGCAAAGCTGAATTTTCAGCATCATTACTCCAGGCTTCAGAAGTCATTTAATATGCTGATCTCATGAAACATTTCTTATTATTATCGATTATCAATCTTGAGATGAATAGAAAGATGAATGAAAGCTAGGCTATTACTAAAATAATAAGTAAGAAAAAAAAACAATCAATGAATCAAGTAATCATTGATAGAAAAATTGTAATTTATTTAAACTACTTAAAAAAAAACTATAACATAAATATATATTGATTGAGTGACTGAGGAAACTAGGAAAGAAACTCATTCGTTTATTTTTCTTCAGGTTTCCCTTATTCCCTGTTGCCCTAGAGTTATGAACCAGCAGGAAATAAGCATAATAATAATAATAAGTACTATAACATTAACTTTAAACAAGAAAATGAAAATAAATATGTCTGTTGGAATAAAATTAAAAAACATATGCAAATATACATTAAAATAAATAAAATGAATATAATGATAAATTTAATTAAAGTATTACAATAAAATGAATTGAAATTAAGGTGACATGGGGCGCAGTATTCATTTTCTTTTCGGCTTAGTCTCTTTACTAATCTAGGGTTGCCACAACTTATCCAGCACATGTTTTAGAAAAATTACAGTGATTTATAGAAAAAAAGGAAATCACATGCTTTTAACTGCTTGCTGAAATAGATATGGTCATTTCCTACATGATTCATCAAGCATTGCTCTCCACGCATGCTTTATAAACAAATATATATTGCCAGAGCAATATGAATAGCCAGGAAATAAGTGGCATTATAATATTAAGTATTATCATATTAACTTTAAATATGAATATGAAAATATTAAATATGTATATTGGAATAAAATAAAAGAATGATAAATTCAAATAAATGAGATAAAATAAAATAACAGTTAATGATAAAATAAATAAATAAAATAAAATAAAAATAAAAAAATAATTTAATTTAATTTAATTTAATTTAATTTAATTTAATTTAATTTAATAAAATCATTTTAATTTTAATTTAAAAACTAATCTTTGATCTTTTGGTATGTTGTAGAAATTTAAATAGTTTCTACAAAAAACATAAATAATAATAATAATCACATGCTTTTAAATGCTTGCTGAAATAGATATGGTCATTCCATAGATGATTTATCAAGCATTTCTCTCCATCCACATATTTTAAAAAATATATTAGTCCATATATTTAAAACAAATCACATTTGCTAACTATTTCTATCCAAAATAATAATAAATAAATTTGGGTGACCATGCTGTGTCAATAGCTTGTGTTCTAAACCAGTGTTTCTCAACCACATTCACGAAGGACCACCAACTCTGCACATTTTCCATAGCTGTGTCTAAAATTGCATACTTCCACACTATATAGTACGCTAAAAACAGTATGCACTCCGAGTAGTATGTCCGAATTCACAAAATTCGAAAAACAGTATTTGAGAAGTACCTGGATGACCGACTACTTCTGGCCAGATTCTGAAGTGCGCATCTGATGGACTCTACACTATCTCATGAAACAGCGTGAGAGAATTCATGGACAGGAGTGAAGGGAAGCAACTGACACAAGTAGGTCACGTGATCATGACAAAATAGTAGTTGTAGTATGTCCGAGTTCCATTCATACTACTGACATTCATACTTTACAGAATGTAATTTTTTAATGGTCGAGTACTACATTTAAATTCAAATTCAGTACCTACTGAGTAGTAGATGATTTCGGACGCAGCCCATCTCTCCTTAACCAAACACACCTGATTCAAATCATCAGCTTATTAGCAGAGACTGAAAGACCTGATATGGGTGTGACAGACAACGGAGACATCCAAAACATGCAGTGTCGGTCATCCTCCAGGAATATGGCTAAAAAAAAACACACAATGGTTTCAGAATAATTTCGTAGATGTGACTAAGTGTAATTTAAGTTATGCCGCCTCAAATGTAACCCACATGCTGTGCCTTCTTTGAATCATGAATTGAAAACTACTGCTCTAAAAGCCAATCAGTAAATCCCAAAAGAAACCATGGGTAAAAATGCAAATTCTCTAATGGGTATTAGGGTTTCAAACTGAATAGCTCCATTTGTTAAATTTGTAGAAAGCTGTTCACAATACTTATTGTTCAAAAAGGAGTTTTTTTTTTTTTTTTTTTTTTTTTACAAAAAAACGGCAAAAACCTATTACATTTAAATACATGAGGAAAAAAACAAGTTGAGGCCTCCTTACCACATATTTAAACACATGCAAACATAGATATTAGTTTGAGCAGCTGTAATCCAGCTATTAATTACAGTCAATGTCGGCCAATTTGTTTTTCAATTAAATTTGATGATCAGCATTCTCCTTTTCTTTCCTCAATGGAGCCTCAGATATACAGTGTGATTGTTGGCATGGCAACTCTTTTGGTCAAACGAGGTGATAATTATGTCTTAATTTTAATGTTAATTGGTTGCAGTGTCAAGGATAATTGCATGATTTTTTGGTTTAGTTTTTAATGTTATGACAAATCTAGCCACAGTTTAAGTGGAAAAATTATCATTATTTTAATAGCTGGCTAATAAGATTCTCCAACAGATCGGCTTGCTGTGTCTTCTTGGAAATATCTGAATTGTTTTTAAAAACCTCGAGGTGACTAAAAACAGTGTCCTAGGCCTTGTGATGAAAACGGCCATTATGGTAGCACATTTGTTTGGCAGTGGTTTCGAATGTAAAACCTGGATCATAAAGTAAATCTAGTTAATGGGCCACCCCAAAAAAATTGAGATTCTGTCATAATTTAAATAACCCTCATGTGTTTCATATGATTATCTTTTAAGAGCTTCAGCAACAATGCAATCTAGCGTGAAAATGTCTATTTGTGTGGATGCACAATAGGAAAATAAGTATTAAACATTTCACGTTGTTCCTGGGAATATTATTCATAAAGTAGTTGTTGACATAAAATTGAACCAGATTTTGGTAAAAACCCAAACAATACAAAAAGAAATGTAAGATAAAACAAAAAGAAAACTGGAAAAAAATGCTGTGTGTAATAATGATATACTTTATGTGAAGTTTTTAAACTAATTTCGAGAGGAGCACGTGATATAATTGACAGCAGCTGGCCACCTATCTACACTCATTAGTTAACCAATCAGATCTATCCTAACCCACTATAAGTAGCCTAGCTAGACATTACTCCCTTATCTTCGTTTTCCGAAGAAACAAACGACAGGTCCGCTCTAGCTCCTCCAAAAGTTACTCACGGACAAAACGGATCCTCCACATCTCCTACTATTCTTCAACAGCAATACCACACCACCTTTAATACCATCGTCAGCAACTACAAAAAATGACAAAAACAACAACAACAGCGACGGCGGCTGAGATCACAACAGCATCAGCGCAGCTACATACAAGAAAGAAAGCTCCGGGCTCCCTGAAACACCAGCCCCGTCTTAACAACAACCAGCCCAGCATGAAAGTCAGCTCGAGACCGAGGCTCCAACGAGAGGCCGTAGGCCTATCCACTCCAGCCAGATCACAATGCAATCCCCAGCTCCGCTACGTACCTTCTCCAGCATCATCATGTGTCACTCATATCCAACAACGACTGTCACTTTGAACTCCTCCAAACTCCTAGACGCCGGGACCATAATTCAAAGCCGCTGCATTAAACCCAAAACACTTGCGAATCCACGTCTTCACCGCCACCCCCAGGACATAACACGCTCCTGCCACACCCCCTATCCTAAACAGACATTAAACCCGCAATCTCTCCGCCTCCCCGGAGAATCAAGGAAAGGATTAAAAAGCAATATTGGATTTGGACATATTGCAGCAATCATAATTCTAAACACGGATAAAACCTATCTCCAGGACAATAAAGCAACTCTTGGGAATCCCACCTCACCTCTTCCATCCTGCAGCTCCCGATTCCAGTGCACACTCCAGTCCTCCTCTTTCAGCGATCCTTACCACCTACGCACCCCGCCCCTCTACCTTGCGTATCATTGCTTTTTCCCCCTCTCATTTTTACAAGCTCGCAGCTACTGCTGATTATTTTCTATTATAAAATAGAAATTACTTGTCGACTTTTCTCAATATGTTTATGCTTTTACTGAATTACGTTTGTAACTGACCTAATTTTCTGAATTTCTCATTCCAGGTTTCGTCTACTGAAGCACAGCCGATCTCGGCGCTCCCTTCCCACAACCTCACTAGCCGTCCACCAACACTACACCAGAAATCACAGAGCAATTCCCTGTTAAGCACATCCATACCAGCCCTACTGAAATGGACATTAGAACGTTTCTAAAAACGTCTAATAACGGCTCTTTCATCTCCTCATAATTCTGCCTTTTTCAGCTTTAACAGCATGATTCTACCTGATGAATATGCTTAAATTATCACGTTATAAACCAAGCAATCTCTCTAATCTAGACGGCTGCAGCGCTCGGTTGCAATCAACATTACACCCGCCACCCGATTTCTGGCAATCGGAGGTCACAATTACATTTCGTAGTCCGTTTAACATTCGGATGCAAAAGTAGCCCACACATTTATGCTTAAAAACGATCCGCTGGATTTCGCCAATAACTACGGTGTTTGCACGTAATTCACCTACAAGTTCCCGTTTCTCTCTCCCTAATATCCCCCAGCTAAACTAGTGACCGGTTTTCTAATATTTGCATTCTCATTGCGGAAGAACCTCCGGCTTAAGCACTTCTATAGAATTCTTAAGCATCAATTTGGAGTGATAGAATTTCAAGCATTAATAAGCTACTTGAATAAATCGACAATCGATTATATTCTGGAAGAAAAATATCACGCTAAGCATAACTGCTCTCCATCTAGAACATCAAACACACATGCGCAATATATTTGCGCCTTTTATATTCTGGAAGAAAAATATCACGCTAAGCATAAACTGCTCTC